TCCAACAGCTGACTCTATGTTGTGCTCTTGGAAATAAACCTCACCTCTGGTTCAAGCAACTGCCTGCATATTTTATTCCCAGCTCAGAAACGATCCTGGTAAGATTTCTTTCTAACAGTTTGTATACTGAAGCTTTGCTCCTATTGCCATCTAGAACTGATTAGGGTTGAAGTTAACATGGCAATAAATGCATTTAACATATTGGTTTTCAAGAGTGTAAATAGCAGACCCAGAAGGATGTATCAGACTTTAGGTGAGGCAGAGTAGAGAAGGGGAATTTAAACTTTCCCCTTTGCCAAGTTCCTAATAAAAACTTTGGCTCATTCTTAGGTACTCTTTGCTAATTCTGTGCCCACTGAAATGCCTCCTGCATATAAACATCTGTTTTGGAGATGAATCTATTTTTGTAGAGTTTATGGAAAGGGAAGAATTACATTCTCAGTTATAGTGATCTGTCAGTGGCTCTTACTTACTTTTTAAGAAACAGACACAATTGCATTTATATAATTAATGTAATGGTTGCTTGATCTTTAGCTGTCCATGGTAAAGAGAAAAAAATGTACATGGAGTGCTCTTGGATGAGGGCTATGCTATGAAGCTGAGGTTGCAATAATTGCAAGATATGTCTTTTATTGTTCTTTCTCTTAACAATAAGTCAGCATTCCATGCATATGAATATGTGGACTCCTCAGCAGTTTACTAATTTAATTAAGCAAGATTTTCTGTATTACTGTGAGCATCACAGTTTCCTGAATCCGCTGATGTTATCCTCTTGTGCATGAACGGGACCATTTGAGCTCTGTAACAATAAGGAATAAAGACCAAAATTCACTCATCTTCTAATATTTTTAACAAGGATTTTGTCCTATATTTATTTTAATTATTTTCCTGTTCCTAATTTAAGAACTTGGAATCATACTTCTCTGAAATATTTTTTCATTTGTTCAATTTACTAAGAAAACTTAATCTCTATCTGGTCACATTCTAAAAGTGGATCTAATTATAGATATATCAGATACAAAAGTAGAGATATGAAATAAAATAATTGGCAATATCTTGCTCTAGTGTCTTCTCCCATTTTCTTATTTTAGGGCACTAAAAATATTGTGGAAAAATATCTAGAAAAAAGTGCATAACTAGACCCCAAGAATGAGAATAAATTTAAGATAGATTTTGGTGACTATGGGCTAATCCTCACTGCCAGAATGGGCAGGCAACTATTTCTGGAGGGCAGAAGCTGACTATGCCACCCTGTATTAATCCCCGCTCACCCTCGGAATGACCTCAGGATGCATTTTTCTGCCCTACTTCCACAATATATTTATGTTGCCTCAAGTGATCTTCTTTGTTTTGGATTACACACTTCAGTTTGTTACAGTCTAAACCCAGTTGTTAACTGGCTGCTTTGCAGGGGCGTGTAGATGCATCTTGATGCTTTAATTTTGTATAAATTCAGACAGATGCATACACAGACACAAACACACAAGTATATAAACGCATGAAGACCAGCCCATTGGCAATTGCTTTCCTGTAGTCAACAGGTGGGAGGGCACAGCAGCAGGGGAACTGTCCAGTTGGACCTGGTAGCCGCTGTTCAGACTGAATGCTTTGCAGCCTGTTGCCAAAGTGTCCCAGTCAAATAGGATTTTCTCAAGCCAGTTTAGAGTAAAGTGGGCATAAGCACAGGCTAGAAGCACTTTAAACAATAACTGTGGATATGCCCTCTATTTGCAATGCTAATAGCAGTTCTTAAAGGGACATGTATCTTGCTCATCTGACTGAATCAGTATCATTAGAGGAAAATGTCCATCATAATCATAAAGAGTAATCATGAGTAAGAATTAGCTATTAATGAAGTACTATAAATAGTTTTACCCATTATATTTTAATTTTTTGTACAAATACTAATGTTGAAGGAAAGAAGTATTCTTTATTACTGGGCCAGAATATAAGAGTCACTTGTAAAATTGGTAGAAAAAAAACCTATCCAAGTATTTCTTGACTTGTTTCAGTTGACACAAAATCTTAGCATTTCTTTGCCTCTAGCACTCTTCTTTGGGGCTACTTTGTGTGTGCACATGTGTATGTGTGTGTAAGATGAAGAATTTAGCATACATACATATATAGAGAGAGATGTGTTGAAGATCCTTTTTCCAAAAAGCAAATATTCTAGGAAACAATCCTGTTTAAAATGTTGAATGCTTTAATCCTAACATAATGTTTAAATGTATAATTTGGAGCTGCAGTACATTATTCTGCCCTGACTGAACTCATTCCAAGAGGTACAGTATCTAAAAAGTTGAGTATATTTCAGAACAACGTAGTCACCAAAGGGTATGTGTACGTGAACCGACGTGTACAGACATACATATTAAATAGAACCTAATAATTATTATTGTACAGTGAAAACTACTGGGAATTAATGAATAACCATGTTATTTATTTTGTGTGTTAGAAAGAGAGTCCCAGGCCTGGTCCAAGTTTATGCTGCTATTGCAATATCTTAACTCTTGTCCTTTCCAAGTTCTACAGTATTTACTTCTAGATTTATGAAATATTTTTTTACCTAGAACAAAACTGGCTAATTTGTCTGAATTCAGAAGCTAAGCAGGCTAGTGTTTAGATGAGGGACTATCAGCCTTTTAGACTGGAAAGTAAAAAAAAAAAATCTATTTCCATGCTGACCTCCCCCCACCCTCGCCAATCTCGATGGAGCTGTCTGTGAAATCACTAGGTATGATTTTAAGTAAGACTGGTAATCAAGTGTTTCTAAATAGAGCTAGAAATAAGACCCAGGGGCCTGGTGAATGCCAGTGATTTTGCCTAAACATTTATTTAGGATTCTGGTATTGCATATTTTATCAATCGCTGCATGTTAATATAATTACTTACCTGAATGGAAAGAAGTCCTGCTGAAACTCACTATTGACATATAAGGTAAGAATATGTATGTGACTTTTGAATATGAGACTTTTGTACATGTGTGGCTGAGTCACCTGGAATCCTCCTGATTGTAACAATACCTTCTGTGAGTTCATGGGAAATGTTGCTTCCTGTAACTGCTTTTGTCAAACTTATTCCCACTGACTGTTTCACAGATCCCAAGACAGACTGGTCTAAGAAAACCTTCTGTCTTCTCCCACACAGTCCTAGGGGAAGTGATTTTACCAAAGAGAGCAAACAGAGAGCCTTCTTGTTCAACACTAATGCTGCTAGTACTTTGAGTGTGGGGGTGAAAGCTCTCATAGGGCTAATATTTGTGTATGCTTCATTAGAAAGGAATATGTATGGTCCAATAGAGCAGGGAGAAGGTCATGGGAAAAGTTATTAAACCAAACTCTAGGTTGCTAAGAATGGCTTCATGAATAGAGGAGTAAAAATATAGCCTTTAGTGCATATGAAAGAGCAAAAAGAAAAAAGTCTTCAATACCTCATGTGTTCTTTAGGGAAATGTTCTGTTGTGTAATATGTCTTGCATAAGACTTATTTATCAAAAGCAAAGGAATCAAAAGAATGAGTGGGAGATCTCTTTGTCTTTGAAAATAAGCTGCCTATCCATCTTTGTCCAATATAAACTATGCTTATTCTAGCTTAGTTTCATTCTATAAGATGATAATTGAAGTAAAACCAAAGGGTTTTTCACCAAAATTATTCTAATAGCTACCTTGCCTTGACTTTGCCATTATAAAATGAAAGGACTTTGGAAATGAGTAATCTGTACCACCCTTGATTTTTGAGTTTTGTGTCACTATGATTTGTCTAATTACAGTGAAATTTAGATTAGTCTAAAACTGACCAGTCCACTCCATCCCCTGACCTCCCTGTACTAATCACTCCCCTACCACCTGAGTAAGCACACAACAATTCTCCTTAGTTCTCTGCAATCTGGTATACCCAGGCTGGTGCCTCCCCTCCTCCCATAGTATCCATGTTTTGTCTGCTGAAACCCAATATCAACAGAAGTAAACTATAGAGAGTACATCAGTAAGTGAATATGTCAGTCATACATAACATCTACTGAGAAAATCCTAAAGATTCTTGTACAATTATTGCAATCTACCCTTCTCAGGCAGAGGTGGGTAGAAGTATGAGCAAATGAAGAAGTTCATTAACGTTATGTGCAGTAGCTTTTAAAATGCAACATGTATTTTGAAACCCACCCTAGTCTTTCGTGACTAACCTCAGAATGGGCAGGGACTGGGAAGGGGAGACAACTAAGGTAACTGCATGAATGATGTGAATGAAATGGTAAGGGACAGCATGAGGAAAACACTGACTGGTCCTGATCTCATAGGACTGTCCTGCAGGAAGAGGCAAATATTTCTAGACAAATGAAGCAATTTACATGGAAAAACAGAACAGAGAATTCTTAGTCATGGTTGTAGCATGATGCATATCATGATGCATATGTTGTGCAAATCAGAGGTTGATGGAGCACTTCGTTGTTGATGTAACCTACCTGTGGGAAAAGGCTCTACATTTCATCATGAAATATGAATTTGATATTATTTTGGGACCAGAGGTCATATTTATACATTGATACTTTTCTTCTAGCATATCTGTCATGTTAGATTCTTAGTATTTGTGTATGTATATGTATATATGCACTATCCCATGTAGGAAAGATTTTAATTAAGAACAGATTTCCTGTTCTTGAATACATAGTCATACAAAAGTCTGTAGCAGAATAAAGTCTACCAGTTCAGGCGCATGACTGAATTTCTCTTTGAAGTGCTAAATCAGTACCTTTAACATGTTTAAGGATTTCTGTGGTTGGCTAACATAAATATAAGTGTCAAGTAAAATGAATGTTTTTTGAGATGCTTGCTTCTATTTAAATGCAAAAAGAATTCTTATGAATACTACTTTCTTGTATCTTTACTTTGAATTCCATTCTGCTGCTTGTCTTCCTACAGTAGGGGCCCAATTTTGCAGCCTTTATACCTGTTGCAGAGTTTCTTTTTGCTGTAATGAAACTACTTTTCCATTTCATTTTTCAGACTCACCCAGCAATGCTGAAATTTCTTATACAAGCTGAAAGTGAACAACTTGTCATTAGTCTGGAGAGAAATGAGTAAGTGGTTCTAATTTGTATTCTTTGCAGTATAATAGTACAAGTGAATGGATTACCAAGTTAAAACTGATGGGTTATATTTGTAATGTATGGAGAAGTATGGCCCTGACTACTTTCTAGCTTTGGAAAAATCAGCTTATATAACCATGTTTCTAAAGGTTTATTCCATTACTTAAAACCAGGTGGTAATTCTATGACAGTTTGTGCACAAATCACGCATTTCTTTTGGCAATTCTTTAAGCTTGTTTCACTTTCTCCCTTCAATAGACCTGCTTGTTCACATTATGAGACATAATCTTAGACAGGTATTGCTTTGTTTTGATACCATGGTATAGTTTGGAATGAGTTAGCCTACACAGGGACAATCACTAGTTGGTTTGCTATTCACTTTTTTGCAATTAAAAAACTTTTTAACTCTGTTTGACCTTCTACTAGTTGGAAGGTAGGAAAACTGAGAGTAATATAATAAATTTTACCAAACCAACTCATAATCTATTGTCTTGCTCATTGCAAGAATAGCAGCATAGTGATCTTAGACTTTTAGAGTCACCCATCAAAGGTTCATCAAAGGTTAGAAAGAGAATGGCACAGGGACTTGGTCTATCATAACCTTTTTTCTCAAGAAGGATATGCATGACCATTGATTGTGCATATACACAATCCTTCTGATGTGCCAGTCAGGAGCACTGACTCCTTTTAGGATAGAAAAGACCAATAATTTGCTTTGGGATAAAGGAGTTGCTTGGTTGGTATCAGTCTGATACTCCCAAATGTCATTACCTAATTGACTGAATACACTGGCATTTTAAAATCTATACCTTTTATTGTTGACATCTGAAGATATAGTTTTTTTCTCTGTTTTCTCCAACTGACAGACTGTGGAATCCTTGGCTTTGTAAAACCGAAAATAAAGCATGTGTGATTTGCTATTTGTAACCACTGAGTCATCCTAGACTGGGCTAAGGGTCTGTATGTTATTCATTTATACATTCCTGGCTCAAGCTGTGTGGATGAGTAGCCCACCCAGCCAATATATAGTATGTGCAAACATTTATTCAGATTAAAAATGAGAGTGAATGAACAAGATTAAAAATCTCTAGAAAAAATTGTTTTGGTCTAGAACTCTGCCCCTAAATGCAAGCAGATAAACAGAGTGGAGCAGAATTTGATGAACAATCAGCTCAGGTATATGTACGGAAGATTCTTGAGCTACCATAAATACCAAAGAAGGAACTGCTGCCCCAGCATAGTCAGTACATGGAAGTCATTACATATACAAAATAAGTCAGATCATGAGGGTCTGGCACCTAACGCTAAAATAGGAAACTAGTTACCTGAACCTATTCAGGACTCTATTAGAGGGAAGAAAATAGCTTCCTAACCATAGTAGGAGGATGAAATTGGGCTTGCAAATTGTACATCTGTTAATCTTCCCCTTGGCTTAAGTATATAACAAGAGTTTTTAATATAAGAGATTCTTTCATTTGTCCAGCATTTTTGTGTAGGCATAAGCTATTTCAGGAAACGATAAGGAAACCAACATTTTTCTGCAAAAACCTCTGCACTGATATGAGCATAGGAGATAGTTTTACAGTTTAAAAACAAAAGCCACATCCTCTGCCATTTCATACACTTAAGAGGTCGAACCCCTTTATCCCCCACCACAATTCCCATCCTCCCTCAGGAAGGCAAATGCTAGCTGTACTTTCTGCAAAGGGTTAGTCATAAAGGAGCAAGTCACCCAAATTGGCTCCCAGCAGAATCCATTGAGATTCCTTATTAATTCTACTAGAGAGACCAGTGATGTTGCTAGGGGGTTGAAAGGCTGGGGTTTAACATTTAAAATACTAGTTTTTCCTGCAAACAGTAATTTCTCTTGGGAAACATGAATCTCTGGAAACTGGCAGTGTGGCTGTCCAACATTTGCCATTATAAACTATGTTAATTTACTGTCCCCAATCTCAGTCACTACATCTTATGAAATGTGACATGGTCAATCTACTGTCCTTTTGGCTGTGATCAAGATGTGTTTCTTCTCCTTTGATTGTTTGTCTCTACTGATACAATATGAGACTATCATCTAGTAATCCTGCAGAGAGAGGCAGTTTGTTTTTATAAAGTCCTTGGGGTTCTCTGAGCTTGGTTCTTTTCTTGGAAACATTTCATTACCTGGCTAAGATGGTACCTAGTCAGGCAATGAAATATTTGCAAGAAAAGAACCAAGCTCAGAGAACCCCAAGGACTCCACAGTTGAACTCTGAGCTACACATATTCGCCTCTATTAGTTTGTTTTTAATATATTCAACACTATTTTCAGGCTTCATTCTACATATAGACAGAGTTCACAGAAGTGCTTTCCATCAATCAACCAATCAAATGTTTCAGCAGTACCTGATTTACAGGAGCAGTTTCATAATTTTGAACATGAGATTCTGAAGACAAGAAATGGGTCCCTGGTTGATAATGCTAAGAAAGCATCCTTTGTGGGCCCAGATCTCACAATTGACAACAGGTCAATGAAATTTGTTTTAATGACTCTATGGTGATCTTTCAATCCCCAGAATTCCTAATTCCGCTTGCAAAGTTCATGACTATTGCTCACTATTTTCTTCCTCTAAAAGTCCCTGGTGTATTGCACCCTATCTTTTGTTAACCCTAAACTTGTTAGCCCTGGTAAACTGTATGGTGTTTATTTCTCAGAAAGTATACACAAGATTATACTAATAATTAAATTATTTAGGTGAGATTTTAGCTCACTGTCATGGATTAGGGGAGATACCAAAGTTAAAATATGAGCATTTAATTGAGGGTATATATTCAGAAAAGAACGTTAAGTGGGAGAGGAAGGAACCTAAAGATGATCTGCCTGATCTTTAAGGTAGATTTCTCAAATATGGCATCCTCAATAATATTGATTAGTGATTATGGGAATTGAAGTCCAGCACATCCCTGGAGAGTATCAGGGAAAACTGCCTTGAGTACTGAGGAGGAAGAAGGAGTATAGCTCAGTCTATTATTTGAATTATACTTCTAGATTTTATTTATTTATTTATTTATTTGCAAATATACATTGATTCAGAAAAATATTCTGTTCATATAATAAATGAGCTAAATCAGAAGGAAAAAAATATATTTCTCCTCTAAGGTTTGATCAGTTCAGCTTGAAATAATCTTCCCCACAGGACCAAAATCACCTACCACAGTGCTTTGGCCCTTAAGCGTGGATTATGGACAAAGCGTGCCTAAATGCACCATACCAATTATAGTTGGTATGGCTATCAAGACACTGTATACATAAAACAGCTAAGATGATATTTATCAAAAAAGGATAGTAATTTTTTCCTCCCAGACAATTTACTTTTATAATTGTAGGTAAATCTTACTGTGATTGATAATACAACCGTGGTGTTAGACACTTTTTACTATCTGATCTCTCTCTGTTTACTATGTAATCTCTCTTTTATGAAGATCATCTTAAATTCAGAGTAATTTTCCTGTTGCATAAATATATAGGTTCATCATATATGTATGTTCATCACTATTCAAGTACAGTTCCCCATTAAGTCCATAGTCAGTAGCATACCTAGGTTTGCCTCTTGATGAAATGCCTCTGAAAAGTAGCAGTTAAAGTGGATTCATTATTTATGAACTTATAATGTATACTCTTCCATTCTCTAATGAAGCATAAGATGATGGTTTTTTGAAGAATGCATTTTTGCATAAGAAATGTAAATTGACTCTTCAGAGATGTTGAAATAACTTAAATAAGTGTGCTTGAAGTATGAATAGAATACAAAGACGAACACCGTTGCAGTTTCTGAGTAAATATACTGAATCAAAACACAGGCATTTAAAATCTGTGTTTATATTGCTTAATCATTTTTTTAAAAGCATATTTGTGAAGTATGGAAGAAAATTGCTTGCTAAATGTTACAATTTCTGTTTTTGCTGGGTGGAGTCTTATTCACCAGCCCAGCAACACACGTTTTTCTATGCTCCTGCCTTTTAATTTTATAGTATTTTAAACAGTCTATTTTACATTTTTTTCTCTTTTTAGATAGCTTCAGTCAAACAAGTATATTAGGCTAATGTAGATTTTAAATTGGATTTTTATTATTAGATTATTTTAAATATATTTACAATTTTCTACAACAAGACGATTGTGGAGTAAAAGTGTCTGAGCTGACTGCCCAACATGGGAAAAAGGAAGAAGAAACATGGAATTAGCCTGGGTTCTCGCTCCTCCTCAAAATCAGCTAAACAACCAAAGATAGAAGAACTTTTTACACGAAACGAAACTGTAAGTAAAGCAAATCTTCCCTCCTCTTCCAACAAATTTGCAGCCCTTGAATCACTTGAATGGGACTTACAAACAGAACTAGAAAAACAACAGCTGTTAGAGACTTACAAACAGAACTAGAAAAACAACAGCTGTTAGAGACTTACAAACAGAACTAGAAAAACAACAGCTGTTAGAGCTTTCATTATCTGTCAGGGAAGAGCTAAATGAAAACCTGGACTCCCTTTCGGTCTCTGACTGTATGTCTCCAGTACAACTTGCTAGTTCTCCTAATAACTCTAAGGGAAATAAAAACAAGTTTAAAAATAAGATGCAAAATCCAAACTTGGAGAGGTTCCCCTGGGAAAATACAACGGAGTGGATGGCAAGGCAATGTCTTCTTACAGCTCAAACTGTTATTTCGCTATTTGATCACCTGTCAACTATAAAAAATGATTTAGATCTGCTGAAAAAAGACTTTGAGACTTTTGTTTATAAGT